TTCAATTAAATTAGACGCTAGATAATTACATATTAATCCAATTTAAGGATGTGTATAATCTCGTCAAGCTTCATTAATTCACTACAACAGATTAAGCTATGTTGATCCCATTTTTTTATCAAATATATTATCATTGTATACTATATTTTCCACATTTTATCATATTCTAATGCCCTACGCCACTGCCAAAGCGGCCGACTGGTCGGCCATATCCAACCTCCCTTCCGGTCGCACTGATTTGACCCACAGAACATACCCCCAGGGGGATATTTTGTGATTTGACCGTAGACTCCTTCCTGTTAGTTTTAGATTCAAAGATCAAACACGAACTAAACCATACTTTGTGCGCTTGCGCTACGAATGCCCTTCAACAGGTCTGACACACTAGCACATATATCGTAACTGACTCCTTGCTTAAATGACATGCGCAAGTTAGTTTGAGGTTACGTTAATCAAAACAAACTTCTATTTACTAAAACGGATATGCATTGGGGCTCGGAATCAAGCTCTAAATAAGCCGAACGGATAAAAAAGTGCCTTTGTCGGCACATTAATTGTAACACCGCGCAAAGGCTGATGTCGCGAGTCACCAGAACACAAACACGTCATTTTATATTCATTTGCTGGAGGGTAAATAATTATTTTCATTTGCTTGAAAATATTGTACCGTGGATGGCCGAGTATCAAACTCTTTCTTCTGCTTCCAACTTTTATTCTACTCGGTATAGCTTTAACTACGGAACAGGAACAAACTAACTTCTAAATTAACGTAAACTTTACAAACAATAACAATAACAAGCGGAAAACTCGGTCTTCCGACTCGCGGGGTTTAACCTCTTCTGAACTCTGTCGCTGCCGTCACTTCACTCCCCTTGTCTGGTTCTCCTCGTCGCTTATATAGTTTCCTCCAGGTAACTCAGATAGTTCTCGAAATCTCCAGAACAGGTGCCAAACTTCCCTCTTGTCAGTGCCATATTTGACAGTAAATGGGGCTCCCATTTACTGAAATACCATGAATTTCGATCCCCCCATTCCAAACGTGAGTACCCCAGGCCAYTTCCGTTACAATATATATCTATTTGTTTAAAAGCTTGTAGAATATGAAAAACTTATTTTATAAAAGTATACAAAGTGCATATAAAGATATTTGCACCTTGTGAGTTTGATAATGTTGGTGTATTCCAGTATTCGAATTTTCAAGTTATGACTAGACATAATTATTCGCTTTTTGAATATTCGAATACTCGTTCGAGTTTGATTCCGAACCCGAATACCTAATACATACCATAGAGTAAGTAAAATCTGCTCTGCATCTGCTCCGTAACTGAGCGACCCTTTATGTTTTTCAATACCCAAAGCTAGCGCAGGGTAAAAACTTGCTGCTTCTAAAGCATACTCGGGCGAGCAACCTAAAAATTGATTCATTCGCATTTTCATGGAACTCGGGTGAAATAATCACCCCAGTTCACCTGCAGATTTGATAAAATTCCGAACACATTGAATCATTGAAGCCACGCTTCCACAAAGAGTAGAAGTGCCCGCAATAAAAGCCTTGTTATCTTCCACCTCAATGTCCAGTCGGCCAATTTTGTGCTGATCAGCCTAAAGGCCAGCGCTGATGTTGCATCAGTCACTAACATGGGGGCCTCACTCAAATAGTCAAGGTCAGACCAAGATTTTGATTGTCGTTAGCTCCCCCTAGGCCCTGCTTACGAGGCAACTTACTCATAAATGAACGGAACATCCCCGAGGGGGCGCCATGGCGACGTTTACAGCGTGAATGCTACCCCCATGACAACTCAATGGGATAGCCTTAACCACAAAATTAGTTCCGTAATCAAATGCAAGAGGCGCGTTGTTGGCGGGAAGTAAAATGAAACCTCGCCATGTGGCTGTCGTTAATCGTCACTGTAATTTAATATAATAAAGTTTTTTATGGTGTGTAGTAGATATGGTGGTGTGTGAAGTTTGTATAGTTTAAATAGTAAGCCCCTATGCCACACACTATCAAAAGCCTTGTTGATGTCCATGAGTAGACATGCCGACTTTCCGTCATTTAGGTGAGTTGTTTGTATGTTGTTGGTCAAGATAAATAG